ACTGCCACTCGCTTGGCACGAATTTAGTGCTCAAACTACGGACTTACCTCTTGCTAGACACGACGGAGTCCACTCGAGTAGTGTATTTATATGGCTGACCATAGTTCGCAATTTTGAATAAATTTTACAATCCTATACAATTGTAAACACTTTATATTATATCTACACAAGCCATAATTCATTCCAAACTATCTCTTTTACTTTGGTTGAAATATTATTCATTCAAGAGAACATCCTACAGAGATCAAACATCAATTCCATAATTATCTTGATTCAATCACAAATAAAACATAAAAGATCTAAAGATCAAACACAAAAAACTTTTACCTTTACCAATAAGTCTTTAGAATTTTGAATTTTGGAAGAGACAGCTGGAGTTTCAGTTGTTTTGGAATAATATTTGTTCTTGGTGACCTACATGGAGGAAAACGATGTCTATAATTCTAGAAAGTGCAAATTGCATAGTCGAAGATATTTTTCAATGATTTATAGGTTTGGTGGTCAGAGTCTACTACGATTTAATTATGTCTATACCATCTATAAGTTATCTTTCCTAGTGGATCATTTTGACAAGATTTGTCCAAAAGTTTTTTATCCCTGTAAATAGTTCTTCAAGTGGTTTTCCTTCATTAACAAATTTACTGTTCTTTACGTTATTGCTTTTGTGTTGTATTACATGATTGACTCTTAGGCCTTAATTTGATATCAAACTTAATTATTTAAAAATAATATGATATGATCCAGGATAGGCGACAAACTACCAATGACTTGTTGATTGATGGGAGGTGGCTAAAATCAAGAGTCGAGCTAAGTTGGAGGTTAATTGGGCTGATAAAGTTGGCCGATATCTTGATCAAGCTATGGAATCCAAATTGCCGAAGTTAACATACCTAGGGTCAAGTCTTATGTAGACATGGAAGGCTGGGATAAAGTAGTTCGTGCAACATAAGGAAGCCGAAATAGAGCCGACAAAATTGGGCAGCAGTCATAACCATGTGATCGCAAAGAGTTAACTCCCATATAGTCGAACAGCCACAACCTGAGGCCAACCTGGGAGTTTTGAACAAAGCCATGCAGTCGCACAACATAATGCCATGTGACGGCCTGGTTACTTTTCAGACAGAATTTTATTTTTTTCGCACGAATTTCCCGATTGCACTAGAATTCCAATCTTTTGATATCTTTGAGTTATTTTGGACGAATTTTTCTTTTAGAATTAGGTTTTATAGTTTTAGTATTAATATCCACTATTTCTTTCATTGTAAATCAAAAGACTTTTATCATGAATTAGTGGAGAATTTTCTCGAGAAGCTTTTTGCTTCAAAATTTTTCTTGTTCTCTTAGAATAATTCAAACTTATCAAGATTTAATCTTCTTGTGGCGTTCACAATCCTGGGTGAGGTTTATAAAGTGTGTAATTAAGAGGTCAATAATTTCTTAATTATTGGTTGCTTGATTCATCATTTGTGAATTAAATCCAACACCTTAACTTGTGTTGGCATACTTTGGAATTAATTTCAATCTAGTGTGGGTTTCGTAGTCGCTATTGTTACGTGGGTTCACATCATAATAAATCAGTTACTTGTTTAATTAAATTCCACATTACATGCATCTGGGTATAATGGGGTCTAAATGTTCATTGTGCCAGTTATTTTTCAATTGTTAACAAACTTAAATATCGATCCATGACCAATTTTAGCTAGATGAGTCAAGCAATTTTTGATAAAGGATCTAAGGTGATGTGGATTTTCTTGAGGCTTATGACCAGCTGTTAAGGAGAGCCTTAAGTTAAAAGGTTAATAGATCCATCTTTAAGAAACTAAATGAACTTAAATTAGAAAAGGAGAGAATTGTAGCAAACTTGAAGAGTCTACATAAATCTAAAAGAGTTGAGGGTTCGTAAAGAGTCCTCTAATGTTAAGGTTAAATCTCTTACGAGCGATCTTAAAAAATGTAGTGCCCAATTTCAATCTTTTCTAGTGGATCTAAGAAAATTAACAACACGATAGGTCTTGACAAATCGGCTTAAAATAGAGGAGGTTTAGGATTTAATAAGACAAATTCTCATACAGCTTTTTCTTCCAAAAACAAATTTATACATGCCTCGATGAAGCATAAGGTTCAAAACTTGAAACATAGAGTTGCTTCTAGGTTCATCATCACTTATAATCACGGTCGAGAGTTATGATACATAAGACTTAAATGTCATAAACTCTTGAATAGGAGGAATAAGGTAAAAAAAAGGGTTCCTCAAGATAAGGTAAAAAATTTGAAACCTAGAGTAGCTTCTAAATTCATTCCCACTTGTTACAATTGTGGTGAGTTAGGTCATATTAGACCTAGATGCCGAAAACCTTTGGTTAGGTACAGCAAACAAGATCCCACTACCCATGCTATATTATTGACTAACCAAGTGAGTATTTGATGAGTTATTCGACTAAGATTACATCTGCTAAGAAAAAATTGGATAAAAAATAATCAGTAGGGGTGGACCCAGGACTTTGGTTCAGAGGAGGCGAGATAGAATTACGTAAAAAATAACTTCAAAGTGGACAAGAACGATAATATTCAAAATGAAGTGCCCAATGGCTTAAATTATCATTCTTTTTTCAAACCATCAGCATAAAAAAGGTAATGAGTTAATGGAAAACATTAAACAAGGACCAATAGCTTAAATTACATTTGGAATGCTACAGAACCAGATTCCAGCCTCCTGCAATAGTTAATATGGAAAATATTCATTTATGGGCCTTATAATTAGACAAAATCTGAATCTAATTAAAAAATGAATACACTATAGGAATGGAAACCATCAAATGTTTACGATCTTATGATTATGGATTTAAAATTCATCCAATGACTTCAATTTATCATTCTTTTTTCAAACCATGAACATATAAAAGGTAATGAGTTAATGGCAAACATTAAACAAGGACCCAATAGCTTAAATTACATCTGGAATACTACAGAAATCAGAATATTAGTACTTGAATCCAATCACCATATCCAATCTTGATATTGCATAAATAACTATCAAAACATAAATAAAAATATTAGGAAAGAGCGATTGAGTACCAAAATTTGCTTCTTTAATCTATTTTTCTTCTTCCTCTTTGAAAATATGGTGAATTGGTTCGGAGTTTGGAATTTCAAGTTGCATTAACAGTTCCTAGGGTCTGAGAATTGGAGGGATTCGAGGGAAAAAAAATACAATATGGGCCTTCAATGTTAAATACTTAAGATTGTTGGGCAGCTTGGGCTTGGTTAAGAATTATGGGGCTGCTATTTTTTCTATTATGTGGGCTTTTTAAATGTAAAAAATTAAACGTCTTGTTGGTCAATTGACCCCACTGGGCCCTAAATAAGTCTGCCCCAGATGGTGAGCTCTCTAGTCAAAATGATGTTGTAAATTGTGGTGGTGTTCGTGTTGCTCATTTAGTAGGTCTTTAGGTTTATGTATCTACATTGTCTGTGTCTCTTAACAATTCATTCATGCATTCTAATATTTTCTATATCTCATTCATTTTGCATTATTTATTTTATTATTATAAAAATAAAAAGGAAAAATGATTTTTGATGATTATAACTTTTTAAAGTGAAATGATTGGATATGTTATTTTATGATCAAGTACTAACAAAATTAGTTAACGATGGATAAAGTTTTCATTAACTTTGTCTGGAACTTATTTGGAGTACTTGGTATAGGTTTCTTCATAAATCATCTGCACTGCACACATTAAGCTCTTATGAATGAGTTTTGGCTGAATATGTGAGATTTGAAATAGCAATCATCAGTGTGGTAAGGTGACTTTGAATATGAATTAACCTTTAATTTGTTGATATAAGCTCTTGTATATTCCCCTAAAAGAAAAATATTATTGAGCATTAATATATTTAGATTATAAGTCAATAGAAATTGTGAGAAATCTTATACTTTTTCATAGACTTTACGACTCGAGTAATTAAGCTAGCCAAGTATCTAAAACTCTGGTGCCCTATAGTCATTTGACTTGGGAGTCATCGGCCAAAAACTTGTAACATGTGTCATTTAGAAAGTTTAGTGAAGAAAAGTATGCATATAAAGAAAAAAATTATATATGCTCACAGATGAAGGATAAAGAAAATAAAAAAGTTATTAATATGAGCTATTTTGATTAAAGGTCCTAGTAGCACTGGTTTGACTTTCATAATTTAAGAAAAATATTAATTCACCAGTAATTTCTTTGCATGTCATTTCTTATTGATATAAAATTTTGAGTCTTGTGTACATGAGGTTAGTGACACTTTTCAAACATGATTTGCATATACATTTAAAATGAGTTATGTAAGAAAAGTTTGCTGTTTATAAAATATGCTTGTACAAGTAAGAAAATAATTGTTCATATGATTTGATCTTCCACTACTTGATGTTATATTTAAAAATCTATAGAAAAAAGTTATCTCAAAAAGAAAATTTTATTCTTGCATTATAAGTTTTGCATGCATATTTTTTTTCGTGACAAGTTGAGTGGTCTATGAGTTAGGGATAGAAGTTGACATTTGTCTTGGAGATTTTACTTTAGGAAAAGTCGTAGTTATTTTGATTCGTGTATGGGAGTTCAATATTGATATTGATATTTGATTTAGGGAGAGTCATATAATAATTTTGATTTGTGGAAGGAATTTTAATATTGATATTGTATTTAGTATATTGTCAATATTGATATTGATATTCTATATTTCAATTCTAAGTTATTGATCCATGCAGTATTACATGCTTTGTTATTACACATTTTACTTGTGTTGTTTTGTATATGAATTAGTTATATATTATAATTGTCAATTTTCTCTTGCCTTTATATGCTGTATTGTTGATTTTACGTATTCAGGAAATAAGTATGACAAGCTATTGAGTTGAAGTTTGGGAATTAAATCTTTGGGTTAATAGATGTTAGGTTATATGGATTTTAATTTTGAAATAAACGATTTTGTCACATAATAGAAGTGGGGGTTTGTTAGATTCAATTGTAATTGGCAAGTTCTATGTCAAAATCATGTGCTATTGAGTTGTAATTAAAGTTAAAGAGTCGAGAGTTGGTAGTATGTCTTAAAGGAGTCAAAAAAGGATTAAGGAAAAGAAATTGTCATAAAATTACTTGCTAATTACCTTTTCGAGAGTTGGTAGTATGTCTTAAAGGAGTCAAAAAAGGATTAAGCATAAAAAGCAGTATCACGTCCGCTCGCTAAGCACGACACTTGCACTTGAGAGGTGGACTTACCGCTTGTTAGCCACAAGGGAGTCAGCTCATGCAATATATTTATGTGGCCAATCGTAGCTCGTGATTGTTAACTGAATTTACAATCCTATACAACTTTAAACATTTCATATTATATATACCCAAGCCATATTTCATCCTATGCTATCTCTGTTACTTTGGTTATTGTTCATTCAAGAGAATATCCTATAGAAATCAAACATCGATTCCATAATTCTCTTGATTCAACCACAAGATTAAAACAAAAAAGATGTAAAGATTATACATCAAAAACATTTATCTTCACTAATAAGACTTTAGAATTCTAAAGTTGGGAAGAGATAGCTGGAGCTCCAATGGTTCCAAAACGAGGTTCATTCTTGCCCCTCGAACGCGTCATCGGTCCCCCTTCGATAATCAATGGGTCTCTTCCTGGGCTCGTCCCTTGGATCACATCATCTCTTCCCTCTTCAAAAGGATTCCTCATCGAATCTGAACCTGCATTAAAGAGAGATAGATCAGATACATTAAAAGTTGCTGAAATATTATACTTACCTATGAGATCTAATTTGTATGCATTGTCATTAATCTTCTTAAGGACTTGAAACGGTCATCTCCCCTATGGTTGCAACTTTAATTTCCTTTGCTTTGGGAAGTGCTCCTTTCTGAAATATACCCAAACCCAATCACCAGGTTCAAATGTCACGTTTTTCTGGCCTTTATTTGCTTGCGATGCAAAGTGCTTGTTTTTGTTTTCGATTTGCATCTTTAATTTTTCATGGAGTGACTTCATGAACTCGGCCTTTCTTTTTCCATCTAAGCTACCATGTTCATTTATAGGCAAATGTATTAAATTCAAAGTCTTAGTAGATTAAGGCCCTGTTTGATTGCCTACCATTTTCCATGGAAAATGGAAAATAACCAAGATTTTCCAACTTTTGTGGTGTTTGGTAGGAAAAATTTTCCATGGAAAACCTTTTCCACTTTCCTTGGCCAGGTAGATAATTTCCAACTTTTTGATGAATTTGAATTCTTTTATTCATTTTCCATCTATTGTGGCAATTCTTTTTTCCTTTTATTTTTTTTTTTTTGGGAAATGAAAACAAATTTTAAGAATCATTGTAAAAAAAGTATTACCCTTTAATTGATAATTTCCATATAAAATAATGCCAGATGAACATAAAAAAATAGATGATTTTCTTGAATTTTCTTTTTTGTTGGTAATGGAAACAAATTTCTTCCCTAATACTAGTAAATTCTATCCCTTTAATTGTCAATTTTCATGTAAAACAAAATTAAACGAACATCAAAAAACACTTTTATTTCAACATTTCTCACATGGAAAATTATACCAATCAAACACAATAAATTGACAATTTCCAGGAAAACAATTTCTAGGCAATTCAATTTCTTTAAATTTGTTTTTTTTTTCTATCCAAATTCCATTTTTGCAATTATACGGACTCTAAAATCATGAACAATTTCAAACGATGTAAATGAAGTAGTAAAATGTGTGGCCCTATTATATGTTAACTCTATGAAAGGTAAACACCATTCCCAACTTTTTAAGTTCTTATTGATCACAGTGCCCAACAATTGTGTCATAGTCTTATTCACTACATTGATTTGCCCATTGGTTTGTGGATGCCAAGTTGCAGAAAACAATAATTTTGTGCCTAACTTACCCCACAAAACCCGCCAAAAGTGACTTAGGAATTTGACATCCTTATTAGACAATATAATCTTAGAGACTCCATGTAAACACACTATCTCCTTAAAGAACAAATCAGCAATGTTGGTGACACCATCGATTTTATGACATGGTATGAAATGTGCCATCTTGCTAAACTTATCTATCACCACAAAAATCGAATATCGACCCCTTTTTTGTCCTAGGTAAACCTTAAACAAAATCCATTGAAGTATCGACCTATGGTTCACAAGGAGTAGGTAAAGGTGTATACAGTCCTTGAGGTATAACCTTAGATTTAGCCCATTTACATGTTATGCATCGACTACATATCTGTTCAGCATCATTTTTCATCTTAGGCCAATAAAAATGTTCCCCTAACATTTCTAAAGTTTTCTTAACCCAAAAATGCTCCATTAAACCCCCTTTGTGTACTTCCCTCATAACAACTCCCGCATTGAACAATTAGGAACATAATTTATTTTTCCGAACCAAATACCCATGATGTGTAAAGAATTTGTCTACAACCCCTTTATTACATGATTCGTATATATCGAAAAAATCTAAATCACTCGCATACATTTTCTTAATTTATTCAAAACCAAGTAGTTTAGAACTCAGAGAAGTTAGTAACACATATCTTCGAGACAATGCATTCGTCATCACATTTCTCTTACCTTGCTTGTACCTATGACATAGGGAAATGTCTCTATGAATTCTATCCACCTTCCATGCCTTTTGTTCAGTTTACCTTGACCTTTCAAGTGCTTCAATGACTCATGGCCAGTGTGAATCACGAACTCCTTAGGCCACAGGTAATGCTGCCATGTCTCCAAGGCTCGAACAAGTGAACATAATTCCTTATCATATGTACGATAGTTGAGAGCAACTTACTGAGTTTTTTTTATTGAAGTAGGCTATTGATCTCCTATCTTGCATCAAAACTGTTCCAATCCCTATTCTTGAAGCATCACACTCAATTTCGAATGTTTTGTCAAAATGAGGAAGTGCTAAAATTGATGCTTTACACAACCTATCCTTAATACTATTGAATGCATGCTCTTGCTCATCTCCCCAATAAAACCTAACTGTATTTTTTAACTATCTCAGTAAGTGGTGTGGTGATTGTCCTATATTCCTTTACAAGTCACCTATTAAAACTAACCAAGTCATGAAAACTCCTTATTTCAGTTATGCTTTTAGGTGTTGGTTAATCTTTAATAGCTTTTACCTTTTTTTCATCTACTTCTACCCTGTTAGCACCAACTACAAACTCAAGAAAAATAATATTTTCCATTTAAAATGTGCATTTCTTAAAATGGGCATAAAGTTAAACCACATGCACACTTCTTAAATGTTCTACATGCTCATCTAAGTCCTTACTATAGACTAAAATGTCATCAAAATGAACCACAACAAATTTGCCTATAAAATCACGTAAAACATGATTCATTAATCGCATAAAAGTGTTTAGTGTATTCGTGAGTCCAAACGGCATTACTAATCATTTATACAAACCATAATTAGCTTTAAAAATGATTTTCTACTTGTCTCCTTCTTTCATTCAAATTTGATGATAATCACTCTTAAGGTCAATTTTACCAAATATGAATGTACCATATAGCTCATCTAACATAATATCTAACTTAGGAATAAGATGACGATATTTTACCATTATATTATTGATGACTTTGCAATCCGCACATTCTCCAGGTTCCATCTTTCTTTTGCACAAGTAGCACTAAAACAGCACAAGGATCATGCTCTCTCTTACATATTCCTTGCTCATCAGTTTCTTCACTTGCCTCTGAAACTCCTTTATATCCTCAAGGTTACTTCGATAAGTTGGTCGGTTTGAAATGAGGCTCCAGGTATGAAATCAATTTGGTGCTCAATCCCTCGAATATGTGGCAATCTACTAGGCACGTTTGCTGGGAATACATTTTCGAATTCCTGCAACAAAGATTTAGCCAAATTGGGAAAGGGTGAGTTAGACTCCTAAAGATTGATGAATGACTCTTTATAGACCAACAATATCCTTTATCTCTCAACTAACGCTCTTTTTAACTCACTCCATTTTGCAAAGAAATTAGCTCTCGCCTTTTCTCTCATCTCGAAAGATTCTTTTTCTTTTCACTCATGTAGCTCCACTATCTTTTTATCTCTATTAGCCACCTCACCATTTTCTATCTTGCTTGCCATCTCACTGTTTTCTCTCTCTCTCTCTCTCTCTTTTTTATTTTTTTTTATTTTTTTTTATAACTCTTTCACTCTTCTCCTTTCCTTATTTTTCAGTTTGATTTGGTCTTCATACACTTGTGCCTGTGTTAATGGCACAAGGATGATAAACTTCCCATCCTTGACAAAGCTGTAATGATTTTTGTACCCTTCTGGATGAGTTTCCTATTATATTACCATGGTCTCCCCAATAAAAGAAGCCACACATGTATAGGTACTACATCACATATTACTCCATCACGATAGCTACCAATTGAGAAATTTCTCAATAACCTTTTGTTCATCTTAACTTCCTCATATTCATTCAACCTTTGCAGCCTATAAGCTCTAGGGTGTTTTAATAAAGTTAATCCCAATTTTTCCTCAAGATTTGTACTAGCTATATTTGTACAACTATCACCATCATTGATCATGCTACATACCTTATGGTTAACGTGGCAAAGTGTATGGAAAATGTTTTCTTGCTGCTGCTCCAGGTCATCCGCCTTGATTTAAGTGCTAAGAGCTCGCCTCGTGACTAATAGCTCTCTTCAGTAGCAAACTTCACTTTCTTCCCATCACTAGCCTTCTTCAATTCCAGCATGTCTTCATAATCACTTTTACTTTTACCCACCACCTCTCCATTGTCCCACAAAATCATTGCCCTTTTGTTTGGGCATTGAGAAGTTATGTGTTCCGACCCCAATCACTTAAAGCATTTAATATCCCGACTTCTTGATTGCTGTAGCTCTGCTTTGGGTGTGGTCTTGCTAGCACCTTCTTCTTTTTCCCTTGGTATCTCAGCTATTCCTTTCAAAACATCCCCATCTCTACTGTTGTTGTCCCACTTCTGTTTCCAAGATGAATTAGAACCAGAAGAACCCAATGGTTGCCTAGCTATCACCTTCCTTTTCAACTCCATCTCCACTTCGTAGCTACATGTAGCATATCGTCTATTTCCACATCGTGCTTCAACTCCACTACATTAGCTATGTCCCTATTCAATCCATTCAAAAATAAGCCACAGTGGCTTCCTAATCCTCCTCCATGTTCATCCTAATCATTAATATCTTTATCTCTTTGTGGTAGTCCTCCACAGTCCTCGACCCCTAGTATAGACTTTGTATCTTTTGATGGAGCTCCCTATAATAGTAACTAGGCACGAACCTCTTCCGCATAATAGCTTTCAACTCATCCCATGTATTGATAGGTTATTCTTGATTTCTCCCTCTTGATGTAACCACTTGATCTCACCAAATTATGGCCTAATCGGTGAATTCAAGAATGGCTATTTTCACCTTCTTTCCCTCCGAGTAATTATGGCATTCAAAGATCAATTCTACCTTCTTTTCCCATTCTTGGTGAGCCTCCGGGTCACTTCTCCATTTGAACGGTGGAATTGACATTTTTATGTTGCCTATGCTCCCATCTATTTCACTCCAACATTATTCCTACCTTTTCTTTCAAACCTAGCACTTCTATTTCTCATCCTCCGTATTTCATCCTTGATTATAGCATCTTCATCCACGTCACTACTGTCTCCAAAATCATCTTGAATCTCCACTCTAGGCTCTTGTCTTTTCGTCTCCTTGCATTGGGTACTTTTGCACGTTTCCATCCAAGCTTCCTGTCGATCCATCCTATCTCCCACATCCCAAGCACCCTTTCAAACCGCACTGTCAGATCGTCAGACAAGTTGACTTGGTTGTTGTTTCCTCTTAAATCTGAATTTTTGTGTCAGAGATCCTAAATTCTAAGATATTTTTGCCTCACCAGTATCTCACTCGTGTATCACTCATTGTGACTTTTACCCTCTATTAATCTCATCACTCTTCCTTTTTCCACTCAATGCTTTCGTCCAAGTGTTTCAAAGAATAAATTGAACTCAATTAGGAATTATTCTTGTGGATTCTAAACCGGATGTGATAAAGAAATGTGACTTTAAAGGGACTCAAACAATTTGAATGAATTTTATTTTATTTTTTCCGAATGGAAACTGAGGAATTCAACAAGTGATTAAAACAAAATTTTGTTTGGACTGGAAAGAAATAAATCTAACTCAAACAACAAATTTTAAGTGATGGTAGCAAATCAAACTTATACACACACACACACACACACACACGCACGCATTATGATACCAGTAAAATAAACGAAAGTTGATTTGGATGCTAAATTAACCCAAAAATAACTTTTGAAAATTCTATGGCAATTTTACGAATCAAAGACTCAAACACAACAAGAACATGAAGAACACGAAACTAAGAATGAAAAAGAAAAAAAAAAGGACTCAACAAACAAAATTAAAGATATAACCTTGATTAATTTGGAGCCCAAACTCTATATCAACTGATGTGAATCCGCGTAGCAACGGTGACTACGAAATCCACAACGAGATTGTTGAACTCAAAAAAGCCAAAATTAATCTCAGTTTTGGATTTGAACCAAGAACAATGAATCAAGCAACCAACTTAAATCAATGGATTTGTTGACCTCTTGATTACACTATCCAAGAATAGTACCGGTGATGAACGCCACAAGAATTCACTCTCGATAAGTTCAAAGATTTGTTCAATGAAGAACGAGAATTTGAAAGCACTATTGCCTCTCTATTAAATCTCAATAATTTCAAAGTTATACAATGAAAGATAATGGATCCTATTTATATGGAACCCTCAAAACCTAATTTAAAATGGAATTTATGTTTAAAAGATCACAAAATATCAATCAAAGTAAAATTCTATGGAAATAAGGAAACTTGCGAAGAAGGAAATTTTTTGTCACGCCTTTGTCTTCATTTTCAGCCGCTCATTGATCCAATTTGTTTTGTCCTTCGACCCCAACATGAAACTTGCCTCTTTTAGCGCCACAATCGACGTATCAGCAATTTTGATTGCACAAGTAGCCCCATTGCTTGATTTACCCGGTTTGATCTTGAACGCGTCATTTGTCTTCCTTCGATTTAATTAACATATCTCTTTCCAGGCTTGTCTTCGTTGGGCTTCACTCTTGAATCACATCAAGTTGTGTCTAGGCCAATTGTAAGTTATCTTTTCAAGTGGATCATTATGGCAAGGTTTGCCCTAAAGTTTTTTTTATCCCTATGAAGAGTTTTTCGAAGGGTTTTCTTTCGTTGACAAACTTGGTGTTATTTACCTTATTGTTATTGATCTATATTGTACGCCACTTAAGGTTTATTTTAATATTAAACTTAATCATCTAGAAATAATATAAAGGTTGTTCTTTTATTGATTAATTGAATTTCACATTATACACATCTAGGTGTAGTAGGTTCTAAACATTCGCCAAGGCAATTATTTTCCAAATTCATTTCATTAGCTCTCTTATTTTATACAACCATCATATTCGAAAACTAAGATTAAGAACTCTAGTTGATCGGGGGATTTATTATGGGCTTTAATTAAGAATTAACTCAACAGACTATAACTAGGAATAAGCATAATTGGAGGCTTTGCCACTTATTACTACAAATATTAACAAGTAACGAACTTTTAAATTACTGTTAATATTCTTTTAAATATAAAATTTTACGAAAGTAAATTACATTTATAATGCAATGTTTCCACAACATTTTTTGTTCTACTGTTTTCGTAAGTAATGTTTCAAGTGTCTTATTGCGTTCTGCTTTCCATCGTAGCAAACCTAGCTTCTTGCCTCTGGGAACTCTCTTAAAGAAAAGTGATTGGGGTTAGAATAGTATTATCTATTATTATTATTATTATTATTTATTTATTTATTTATTTTTTTATCAGTATAGAATATTATGATCTACTTTACATTGGTCTGTATGTAAAGGTTGGATGAAGATATTTGTACAAAATTTGGGTTATACAAAAAGTGTTACTTCCTCTCATATGCACGTGGGCCTTGCATGAAATAAAAAATTCCAACATGTAGTCCCCACCCTATCATTGTGAGTGTGAGTAAAACATTTTGAACATTTAGCATTGTCCATTTAATATTACGAATTATACAATAATTCGATTTGGATCTAAACTTGAATTCAGATATAATTTCTTTCATTTCTTTAACAATTTTGAAAACTAAAGCAAAAGTTAGAAAATCCAAATCGAAACGTAATACATCTTACTGATTCTAAAATATAAGATTTTTAGCATTATATTTAAAATAATGGGATTTGGATTTGACCAGTTTTGAGTGTGACTTAAATTTAATATGAGTATTCATAATTCAAGTAACAAACTTTAATCAACAATATAAGGGTCGTTTGATTGCAAAGATGGAATTAGGGTGAAAAGAAAACGAATTCCAAAGAATTGAATTGATGGGAAATTGTTTTCTTGAGAATTGTAAATTATTGTATTTGATTAGTATAATTTTTTCACGTGAAAAATGTTTAAATTAAAGTATTTTTTGATATCCATTTGACTTTGTTTTATATGAAAATTGTCAATTAAAGGGATATAATTTACTAGTATTGGAATAAAATTTGTTTCCATTGCCAAAATCCAAAAAAAAAAAGAAAGAAAGAAATCAAGAAAATCATCTATTTTTGAGTGTTCGTTTGTCTTTGTTTTACATGAAAATTATCAATTAAAATTAAATATTTTTTTACAATAAATCTTAAAATTTGTTTCAACTCAAAAAAAAAAAAAAAAAAAAAAAAAGTGCTACAGTGTACCGGGAAAACTTTCCTTCAAAACCAAGAAAACTTCAATTCCCAAGAAAAATTGGAAAATGTAATTCCATTGAAAAAAATGGTATCAAACACTCTTAAAACTCAAAGTTAGAATTGATTTTCCACTTTTCCTATAAAATTTTGACCTATCAAACGGACCCTAAGAAATAACATTTTGAAGAGAGCTCCAGTACAATTATCATCCTACTCTAGTTTGCAGTACAAGGAATTGAGTGTGTCTCTAGCCATACTAGAGGTCCGACTTCACAATGGCAAGTACACTGTGTCCCTAAACAACCAACTGTGCCTTTATTTTTGACAGAAAAAATGCTAATATACTGTTACTTTGTTGATTAAAAGCTGTATGGCTTTGATTTTTGTAGGGTGTGTCATTGATAATTTGTTCTTGTTGACTGTATCCTATAACAATTGTCAAATCACTAAACGGAACAATTGAAACTAGTACACATATGGGTCGTTCTACTATGACAACCCCCTGGTTGTCTGGGTGGTTATGTGGCGGCCCCCTATTGGGGGGCGCCTGTGCATAGGGGGCTGCCTGTGCGCCTGGGGGTTGTCCAAGAGGTTTATTCCTACAAATATAGCCCATATTTATTTCTTGGAGTCTGAATTTATAAAAGGATACAAATCCCATTTCTGTTTTCCAAATTATCCATGATTAAGTCTGCTCGGTGGCTAAGATGGGCTATTATGCTTATTCAACATATTTCAATAGATATGCAATTCCATTGCCTATTCATATTTTAAGTCTGAAACTCAGTCTGTTTGCTCCAACAAAAGCTCATAAGGTATGTCTCATTATACAAGTTATTATCTACCCCTTTCTTTGCGCTTTTTTAAGGAAAAGAGGTTGCAGCCCTAACTCATCTGGTTACCAGACACGTGATTAAGTTCTTTGTTTTGGCAGTTCCATTGTCGGGTGTTGGTTAATGACTGTGTTTTCTAAGGTAGTTCTGAAGGGCAAGTGCTCATTCTGATTCTATTCAACCTTTTATGTCCCGGTCGAACTTCTAGCCTGTAGATAATTAGAACTTCCTTGTTTAGGCCATACTAATCACTTCGAGGAAGGAAGTATTCCAGCAAAAATTTGGCAAAGAGAAAAACTTGTTTTAAACTCTCAAGAAACATATTTTATACATAATATTGGACAAAACTAGACAATGTAGTAGACAATCATTTAACACCTTTTATGCTACTAGGTCCCGTTGAGTCCTGCATAGCAAACATATCCATGGTCACTACTAGATCTTGGCAGATTAAATTAAAAGTCTATAGCATGATTAGCATCTTATTATTTAGCACTTGTTCAACTGTTTAAAACAAGATAATTTATTTCTCATACTCATTTTCAACTACACACTCTCAATAAAGTATTTTGCATGTAAACCAAAACAACTTTCTTACCATTAACCACACATATTTCCTCAAAATCATTATTTAGAACATCAGTTTTACACAATAATGGCCATCAAGGGCTTACTCTCTTTTAGAACACAACAGAGAAGAGTGCAACAAGGAGCTAACCATCAAACGAATCCTTTACAGTTTCCCACATAAATTTTCTTAATAAAGTCACATTTACTTCAGAGTGAATGCATCCATCCGGGCAGGATTCCATTTGCACCTTGTGTGGATGCTGCACTGTTATCCGATGCCACATAATTGTATCTGTCATAGGAAATAGAGGAAAATGATATTATTGAAAACAAGTAAAATTTATCAGCATGATAGGGTGAAAAAGAAAAAAAGAAGAAGAAAGAAGAGGATGTAACTCAAATTTATTTATTACGAGACGAAGCATACCCAATTTGCAATGTGTCATTGCACTGAAGAGGTTCAAAGAACTGCCCAATCTGAGGAGGCTGAAATCTGTTTGGAATGCTGTGTTCCCCGGATTGCCATGATGAATGAAGTGCTGCATTATATTGTTCTAGCTGCATGCAAAAAATTTTAATTTGCAAAATACAAGTTGATGATTGCAGAGTAGACGTTTATAACAAGACACTTCCTTTGTTTTTTAGTAGAATGTTTCAAGTTTTCAAATCATGTGTAGTATTTATAATTAGTGGCAGATCCAAGAATCTAGGTGAGCACGAGCGATATAGGGCTGACCAATATAAGGGAAAAAAATGAAATTCTAGCGGAGCCAGCACGGGCAACCGCAAGGGCTCGTAGGGTGTTGGCTCCGCCTCAGTGTATAATGTTGGAATCATATACATGCGGCAGTCCAGTATGATCAACATAAATTTTCAGCTCAACTAAGTCTGTATCACTAGAAATGAGATAGGAGATACAATTATTTAGGTCTTTCATACATATGACTTCGCCTCACACCAGAGACTATATACTTGTAAGTTAGTCATCCACAAAAAGGACATAAGCAAGTTCCAACATTGTGGATAATCACTTAGAAAACCATTTGGGCACTCTCTATAATAGGAAGACTTAATATCTCTCAAGTCGTAACTTTATTAGAGAGCTCGAGCTCCTAAGCTTTGGCCTTTCGAAAGGAAAGCAAAGTTCATCCTAGGGAATAGGCTCTAACACAAGATTGGTAGTCACGTGCATGAGCAACTTATTCATCAACCATGAATAATAAAAAGGCCTAGAACATGTTTGGCTAAGCCTAACATAAAAGTAAGTTTATTTAAAAGTAAATTTTATGACCAGCCAAACATGTCTATAGCCTTAAAAGTTCCTTTAAGCAAATTTCTTCCTCAGATATGTTAGATTTTCTTTAAAGTTGCATTTTTTTCCCCAAAAGAAAAATGATAGAAAAGTTGGATTTTCTAAAAGCTTGCTCTTCCTTACTTCTTAAAATAGTATATTTGCTTTGGTTAGGGGTTCAATGATGTGATCCAAGAATCAAGCTTGAAGACGGCGAGTTCGAGTCGAGACCCGTTGATTATCAAAGGCGGACCGATAACGCGATCGAGAGTAAAGCAAGTGAAACAAGCGATGTGATTGCTCGTTCGAGAAACCATTGATGGGACGATATTCGGGATGCAAAACGAGGCAACTTTCATGTTCGGGTCGAGAGTCGAATCAAAATGAATCAATTCAATACAAGCAGTAGAAGTCGGGGACAAAAGTGAGAGCTATGCGGTCGCATAGCTATAATAGGCATGCGACCGCATGTATAGAGGTAGGGACTATGCGGACATAGTTCAATTGAACTATGCGACTGCATAGGATTATACTATGCGGTCGCATAGTGTTAAATTGGGCAAAATTTTTCCTTTTTTCATATTTTATTAGAGTTCTATTTTTAGTCAAATTCTAGAGATATTAGACGAGTATTTTTCAAATTCTACTAGATTATTAGAATTTTATTCCTTTTCAACTTCTATTCGAGGATCTAGTATAAATAGAAGTTCCATTCTTCATTGTTTTTTTTTTACGAGACATTATTTGAAATTTAATACAAAAAGCAATTTGCTTTCGATTCCTTGTTCTTAATTGAACACATTGAACTTATTAAGACTATTCTTGTGGCGTTCTACAATTGGGGTGTTTGTCTTGGATTGTGTAATCAAGGGGTCCTTCAAGTAACGTTCTTGCTGGGTTTTTTGGTTCAGTAATTTAAGGTTCAATCTCCAAACCTTTTATTTGGCTTTTCTGGGATTTTGGAACAATTTAGTTGTGGATTTCATGGTCAACGCTGCTACGATTCGCATTAGTTGATATCAGAGCACAGGCTCTAATTAACATGTTATATCTTTTGTTTTCTTCATTGAGTTTAGTTTCTTTCTAGTTTTCGTGTTCCATTCAGTTATCTTTTCTTGTTCTTCCTGTTCTTGTTAATTTGAGTTATAGTTCGTGTTTTTATTGATTAATTTGTCTTTCTTCTTTGTTGGGTCATTGTTAAATTGTTAATAGTTTAATTCATTGTTTTTAGCAAAAAAAAAAAAAATCCGGTTATTGTTCACGCCCAGAAAGGATCGTAAAAAAAAGGGTCAAAAAAATTTACTGTTCACGATTACTGTTCATTCGTAAAGTACAAAAAAAATTATTATTGTTGTTATTGTTCTTTTATTAGCACTTTACTACCAACAAATTCTTACTTTTAAATTTCCTTTGTGTCACATTAGTTTCTTTCAATCAGTCAATCAGAATCAAGTTCCATTAGTTTCTTTCAGTCAGAGTCAATTCCATTAAAATTTCCTTTGAGTTATCTTTGTGTCACGATCCTATAATTCACATTTGGTTGGGAATTCCATGGGTTGAAACTATCTTTGAGTTCATTGTGTTCTTTGAAGCACTTGGAAAAAAGTGCTGAGTGGTAAAAGGTGGAGTAGTGGGCATATTAGAGGGTAAAAGCCATATTGTGTGATTTCCGAGTGAAAACAGGTGAGGCAGATAAATTGCTAGTTTTAGGATGTCCGAACGAGAAGATTCCAATTCAAGCCGACATGGCAATCATAACAGTGCAACGGATGATTTGATGGATCGGTTTGAGAGTGCATTTGGAGTTGTGAGGAATAGGTTGGATCAACAGGACACTTGGAGGATTAAGCAGAAAGCTTGGATGACTAGATTGGATATATCGATGGCTAAATTTAGTAGGGGACAACCAGTGGAGGTGTCAAATGCTAGGGGACCGGATAGGCAAGAACCAAGGAGAGTAAGGCGTGCGGAGTTTGATAGTGATATGGATGAGTTTGAGGCTAATGACATGGATTGGGGATGGACGAGGAATAGAGGCGATAGGTTTGAAAGTAGGGGTAGGAATAATCATGGAGACGAGATGGATGAAAATTTGGGAAACATAAAGATGACCATTCCACAGTTTAAAGGGAGAAGTGATCCAGAAGCATATTTGGAGTAGAAAAGAAAGGTAGAACTGATCTTTGAATGTTATAACTATTCGGAGGAGAAGAAGGCGAAGTTGACAGTTTTAGAATTTATAGACTATGCAATAATTTGGTGGGATCAAGTAGTTACTTCACAACGTAGGTGTGGGGGTATACCGATTAGCTCTTGGGAAGAGTTGAAAGCTTTGATGAGAAAGCGGTTTGTTCCTAGTCACTACTATAGGGAGGTCCATAAAAAAATTGTAAAGTTTGTACCAAGGGGCGAAGAGTGTGGAAGATTACCAAAAGGAGATGGAGATTCTTATGATTAGGGCAAATGTGGTTGAGGATCGAGAAACTACCATTGCACGATTCTTGAATGGGCTAGATAAAGAAATTGCTAACGTAGTGGAATTGCAACATTATGTGGGGTTAGAAGATATGTTGCATGTGCCCATGAAGGTAGAGAGACAATTGAAGAGAAAGGGGACAGCTAGGCCACAAATGGGTGCTTCGGGTTCTACTTCATCTTGGAAACCGAGGTGGGACAACAACAAAGGACATGGGGCTATACCTAAAGGTAGAAATGAATGGCAGAAGGGAAAGAACGAAGGAGCTAGCAAAACAACACCAAAATTGGAGCCACAACCATCAAGGAGTCGAGACATCAAGTGCTTTAGATGTTTGGGGTCGGGGCACATTGCTTCTTAGTGTCCAAACAAAAGGGCAATGGTGTTGCTAGACAGTGGAGAGATGGTGAGTGAAAGTAAAGGTGAATATGATGACATGCCGGCGTTGGAGAAGATTAGTGAAGAAGAGAAGATTGAGGGTGTTGTTGGTGATCTTTTGGTTGCAAGAAGAGCTCTTACTACTCATGTAAAGACGGATGATTCGAAGTTGCAGCGGGAGAACATATTCCATACTTGATGCCATGTCAACGATACGGTATGTAGTATCATTATTGATAGTGACAGTTGTACAAATGTTGCTAGTGTAGCACTTGTAGAGAAATTGAACTTAACACCGTTGAGACACCCTAGGCCATATAAGTTGTAATGGTTAAATGAAAGTTGAGAAGTTAGGGTTAATCGAAGGGTGTTAATCAATCTCTCAATTGGAAGTTACCGGGATGAGGAGAAGGTTAAAGCTATTAAAGACTGGTCAACACCTAAAAGTATAATTGAGGTTAGGTGCTTCCATGGTCTGGCTAGTTTTTATAGGTGGTTTGTGAGAGACTTTAGCACAAGCACGACACCATTAACTGAAATCTTTAAGAAAAGCGTAGGTTTTCACTGGGAAGAAACACAAGAACTTTCATTTAATACCATTAAGGATAAATTGTGTAAAAACCCTATTTTGGCATTACCTGACTTTGATAAAACGTTCGAGATTGAGTGTGATCCATTAGAGATAGGTATTGGAGTAGTGTTAATGCAGGAAAGGAGACCTATTGCTTACTTTAGCGAAAAGTTGAGTGGAGATGTACTGAACTACCCAATGTATGACAAAGAGTTGTATTCTGTTGTTCGAGCATTGGAGATTTGGCAACAATACTTGTGGCCTAAGGAATTCGTGATACACACCAATCATGAGTCCCTAAAGCACTTACGGGGTCAAGGTAAGTTGAACAAGCGACATGCAAGGTGGGTGGAGTTCATAGAGACGTTTCCATACGTCATCAGGTATAAGCAAGGTAATGAAAACGTAGTTGCAGATGCATTGTCAAGAAGGTACGTGCTTCTTAACTCTTTAAGTACGAAATTACTTGGTTTTGAGCATATTAAGAGCATGTATGAAAATGGTATTGATTTCTCAAATATTTATAATTCATGTGCTAAAATGGCTGATGACAAATTTTATAAACATGAAGGATATTTGTTTAGGGAAGCTAGGTTGTGCATTTCAAATTGTTCAATGCGTGGATTATTGGTTAGGAAAGCACACAGTGGGGGTCTAATGGGTCATTTTGGGATTCAAAAGACTTTAGACATATTAGGGAAACATTTTTATTGGCCTAAAACACGTATTGACGTAGAACAGATTTGTCAGAAGTGCATAACTTGCAAACAGGCTAAATCAAAAGTTTTACCCCATGGCTTGTATACACCTTTACCTATGCCTAGTGAATCTTGGGTAGATATTTCTATGGATTTCGTGTTGGGGTTACCTAGGACAAAGAAAGGTCGGGATTCTATCTTTGTAGTGGTTGATAGGTTTAGTAAAATGACACAGTTCATACAATGTCACAAAACTGATGACGCCACTAACATTGCTGATTTATTATTTAGGGAGATAGTACATTTGCATGAAGTCCCTAAGAGTATTGTGTCAGACCGAGATGTTAAACTTTTGAGTCATTTCTGGCGTGTTTTGTGGAATAAGTTAGGAACTAAATTGTTATTTTCTACAACTTGTCACTCACAAACAAATTGTCAAATTGAAGTAGTAAATATGACCATGACTCAATTGCTTTGAACAGTGATTAATAAGAACTTAAGAAATTGGGAAGATTGCTTGCCATTTATTGAGTTTGCTTATAATCGTGCTGTACATTCGACTACTTCTTATTCTCCGTTTGAAATTGTGTATGGATTTAACCCACTAACTCCATTGGATTTATTTCCTTTGCCTGTGAATGAATGAGGTAGCATGGATGGTAAGAGGAAAGCTGAGATGGTAAAGGTATTTCATGTGAAGGTTTGTAAACATATTGAAGAGAAGAGTAAGCTCATCGCATCAAAGACAAACAAAGGGCGGAAGCATGTGGCATTTGAACCCAGTGATTGGGTGTGGGTGCATTTCAGGAAGGAACGTTTTTCGGAGCAGCGAAACTCCAAATTGCAACCGCAGGGAGATGGTCCTTTCCAAGTCACTAAGAAGATCAACGATAATGCCTACAAAGTGGACTTGCTAGGTGAGTATAATGTATTGGCTACATTTAACGTGGCTGATCTTTCCCTTTTCGATGTAGGTATAGATTCTAGAACGAATCCTTTTGAAGAGAGAGGGGATGATGTGATCCAAGAATCAAGCTTAAAGACGGTGAGTTCGAGTTGAGACCCGTTAATTATTGAAGGCGGACCGATGACGCGATCGAGAGCTAAGCAAGTGAAACGAGCGATAAGATTGCTCGTTCGAGAAACCATTGATTGGACGATGTTCGAGATGCAAAACAAGGCAACTTTCATGTTCGGGTCGAGAACTGAATCAAAATGGATCAATTCAATACAAGCAGTTGAAGTCGGAGGCAAAAATCATAGCTATGCGGTCGCATAGCTATAATAGGCATGCGACCGCATGCATAGAGGCAGGGACTATGCAGACATAGTTCAATTGAACTATGCAACCGCATAGGATTACACTATGCGGTTGCATATTGTTAAATCGGGTAGAATTTTTCCTTTTTCGCATTTTTTTCATATTTTATTAGAGTTCTATTTTTAGTCAAATTCTAGAGATATTGGACGAATATTTTTCAGATTCTACTAGATTATTAGAATTTTCTTTCTTTTCAACTTCTATTCTAGGATCTAATATAAATAGAAGTTCCATTCTTCATTGTTTTTTTTTTTTTTTGACGAGACATTATTTGAAATTTAATACGAAAGGCAATTTGCTTTCAATTCCTTGTTCTTAATTGAACACATTGAACTTATCAAGACTATTCTTGTGGCGTTCTACAATTTCGGGTGTCGGTCTTGGATTGTGTAATCAAGGGGTCCTTCAAGCAACGTTCTTGCTGAGTTTTTTGGTTCAGTAATTTAATGTTCAATCTCCAAACTTTTTATTTGGCTTTTTTGGGGTTTTGGAACAATCTAATTGTGGATTTCGTAATCAACGCTGCTACGGGATTCACATCATTCAATCTAACCTTCTAACAAAAGACAAATTGCATTTTTTGGATATTGATCGTAATTGTGTTTTTTGTGGCCATGTGGTGGAAACGGGATGTCACCTATTCTTTGAATGTTCTTTCACTTTGTCATTGTGGGGAAATATTAGACAGTGGCTCGCAAGAGGATTGCACTTACAAGTACCATCTACTATATTTGGTTAATACGTAATAGGAAGATTTTTGAAGACCTTTCACCTAACTTGGATTGCATTGTGAGACGGATCAAAACACATGTATACAAAATTATGTTCTCTTTGTATCCGGATGTCTTGATTCATTTCGAGTCCTCAGTGTTGGGTCACTGACTTGTTATGCACTTCACTTATTTTGTATCTCCCGGGTTTGCCCGGTGTACTTATCTATGAAAATTTAAATTTACCGATAAAAAACCAATATATTTGCTTATTTTTTAAACATGCTCCTAATTTTTCAGTTCCGATTCACAAATTGCAAGGAACAATCCGATCGACTAATGAGAGCTTCTATTATATCTACATGTTTCTTTCTTAGGCTAAAACATGGAAATAATTGGGTTATCACATGCTTCTCTAGTTTAGAATACCACACAGGATCTGTCCGAAACTCGTGAATGTGATGTTTCGGAATGCCCATATTTTTGTTGATTACAAAAGGGACAAATTCATAGTAAAGCTTTTACCTTGCTATTTAGAGATTTATTAACTTCCAGCAGGGTCCTTTCCTGCACAAGCATAAATGATTAATAGATACTAAATTGACAAATAAATTGACTATTTATAGGAATATTTTTACCTTTTGTTGAAGATCAGAAAGCTGATCGAGCTGATATCGAGTCTGCAAACACATTGGACAGTGGCTTAGATATCACACAATGGAAGGATTAAATGTACAAAGGAATATATATAATAAGCCAACTTTTATTATGATCGAATAAAAATCTTATTATTTATTTTTTTAAAAATATTTAGAGATAGAAGGTATTCCTAATGAGGACAAACCAGAAAAAATAAATAAATAAAGTAGTAAGAAAATTTTCTATTATTCCCAAAAAACCTTTGCTCAATCCTTCGTCAATTATTTTTAACCAAAATAAATTAATTGACAAAATTTATATATTTTGCTTTTTGGTTAAAAATACATTTTCTAAAATTCGAACCCAGATATGCATGTCTAGACCAACTCATAGTGGAATAATTTTATTTTGTCAGCAAATTGCGAAGTTTAGTTGGTCACAAAGCAAGTATAACAGAGGTTTTATAAGTTAACTTCATTCACATAGATCGCTTGTATAAATTGTTAAGAAAAAGGTATATGATACAATTTACCCATAGTTACTAAACTCATAATGAAATCTTATCTAGGTTGCTATATGTTTTTAGTTGACATGACACAAATATTGTTTAGTGATTCAATTCAATTTTTGCTATAAGTTTAGTAACCACCACTGCTTTTAACCTCTAATTTCCTTTAAATTTGAGTTTTGGTACTGATCCAAATATATGATCATCGACAGATAGGGAGTGGTGGTTCTCTTTTTTTTATTTTTTTCCAACATATTTTTCATTCGAATACAAAGAAAATATTATGTATATACCATGAGTTTTCTTAAAGAACCCTAAGAAAAAGGCCTTTTAATAAAAAGAATTTCAATTAATAAGCCTTCTACACAATGAATATTTTTTTTTTTCGTTGAGTTTTTTCTTCTCCATTTCATCTTCTTCTTCACCCCTTAACCCACACTCCATTAGCTATGCAGACTGTAAGACAATACAAAATCGAGCGTGGGACTGTCAATCGTCGAGATAAACAAGAAGGAACTACACAACACCTAGTCCATCCAAGCATAAATTCATCTACAATAGAAATGTAGAAGAATAGATTTTCCATCATTTATAGAAAATAGTGTCTAAAATATGGGGGAAATATGGTTTTCAGTAACTAATTATGTAACATGGGGGAAATATGTAGAGAAGCGAAAATGCCCGTTTTGACAACTTGGAATAGTGTATTTTTAGAGAATGTGTCGGCTCTTCTACATGTTGCTACTATGGTAGCGGCGGCAATTTTTCTTATAACTAGCCTTCTTCCTCTTTTTATAGTTTTACCTTACATAATGAATTTAATCTCGTTCATAGGAATAGTAACAGTATTGTTAGGAGCTACTTTAGCTCTTGCCCAAAAAGACATTAGAGGGATTTAGCCTAAGTGCCATGCTATTATTACTTAATATTCATATAACGAATACATAGTCTTCTTTTTTCTCTCAAATAAGAAAAAACCTCATTGTCATTAAAAAGTAAGAAAAACTTTTTGGATTATATAAAAAAAAATTATTGTGAGAAGGTGTGGTTAAAAATGAGTTTGGAAAAAAAGTTTTGTTTTAATGATTGTCAAACAAGGGCTAAATTAAGAAGGAAAAAAAAAAAATGCTAAAATGTTGTTTAATGTACTATGTGATGTTGTTGAAAATATTATATGTCAAATGTGTTTCTGTGTGTGTATGTGTGAGTTTATGTTTATGTATGTATATGGTACCTTTGTAGATCTTATTTGCTTCAAAGATGTATCTAGTTGACACTCAAGCTGCTCAAGATCCTTTGTTCCCAACTGTCCCAAATCTTCACCAAGAAAATACCTGACATATATGAATCAAAAAATTTCAGTGTCTTTTGTTACATTCCAAATGAATAAGTAAATGTATAAAATTAACTGCATGCATCTTCTTAATTACCTCTGAGATTTTTGAAGCATCTCAACTCTTACTTTAAGTTCTAAATACTCCTGGTACATGCTCTGCTGCTGTGTAGAAGAAATTAGCTTGTTTTTTTGGTTTTTTGTTTCAGGATAGTATATATAAATTTAAAAAAATTAAAACCCCATAAGAGAAATACTACCTGTCCATCACTGGAAGATTGATTCATTTTATATGCTTCATAGCTGCATCTTTGATATCTTTCAATTGTCTTGGACATGCTGCAATAAAGACATATATGTTCATATTATGAATAAATTAAAGAGCAGGAGTTATGCAATTGCCTTTTCAACTTTTAACTCACGAGACACAAAAAATACTTCATAGAAAGAGAAGCTTGCAATGAAGTTTCAAACGAAACACTAAGATGAGGTGGGTTGACATGGTATAGTAGGCAAAAGTCTTTAGATTAAGTCTCGCGCCACTCATTTATAAAAACTATCTATATTTACAATAGTTGATTAAAAAATAACATGGCATGCACGTGACAACCTCTCCTATTAAGCTTTAAGAAGAGACGATTCATCAAACCACAAATAGGACATATCAGGGTTAAATCATGGAAACTAAGTTTCAAGATCCTAGCGAAAATCAGTTAATTTGGTCATATTTCAGCCTTGTTCAAGTCATCCTAGCTCAGATCGAGAGTAATGACTCTGAAAAATTATCGTTATGAAATATCATGGCCATCATCCATCTTTCTATAGTCTGCATACAATAAAAGATTTGAATAAACTAATTTCTTTACTATTTTTTTTTCTTGGTGTAGTTTCAACATTTTATTGTTTAAATGTTAGTCCTTAATGCCTATGTCCTGACAAATATTACAATATCCGAAAGTTTCAAGGTTATCAAACGGCAAGCGCATTTCATGTTACTCTAATTCAGTTATAAAAATAATTCTTGTAGATTGAGTTCCACACAGCCTGAAATTTCTTGGATCGTTGTGTGGGAATAAGAGTCTCGTGTTAGAATTAAAAACTTGATTTATAAATTAATTTAATTCATGTATTTTAAATTGGTTCATGTACTAGGCTTTGCGATGTTCATGCATTGTTGAGATACATGTATTTTAATTAATTTATCCAAGTAACTTTAGAAATAAAAGTTGAATTTTCTCTAGAATTTATCTCTTCTCTCTTAAAGTTGTTTCATCTCCAAGTTTCCAACACCTTGTTCGTGAGTAAAAGTATCACAACAGTACACATATTATTTCCACCACTGAAGTAATTAAATTTCTTAACCTGCAGAAATTTGAGGAAAAACCAAATCAAAGTGTAGCATTTGCAGCATGATTTGTAGCAAGACAACAGTATAACAGGTTTCTCCAATCTTAAGTTAACTATAAATTAAGTTATGAGGCCCACAAAATTAAGATTCATTAAATAAATGCACAATCTTAAACTTCAATAACTTCACTAAAAGAATAGTTATTTTCTGACTCAGATCTGACTCAATATTACTACAAATCAAAAAGGGCAAAAAAAAAGGAAAAGGAAAAAAAAAAGGAAAAGAAAAGAATTCTTATAGATCAAACAGCGAAGGGCTAAGACTTGTTCCTGATAAATAAACAAGTGAACATCTATTTAATACTGTTAAATAAACACACAGTAACAGAGAGGGAAAAGGGACATGCCTAGAGCTGCTGCAGAACTCATAAAGCTTGCCACTGCTGGAGAAGATGATGAGACCAACCTCGGCATCGCATAGCACAGAGAGCTCATAGGCCTTTTTGAGCAACCCATTTCTTCTCTTTGCAAATGTCACCTGTCTATTTATCTTGTTCTCTATTCTCTTTAATTCAACTTTCCCCCTCCCCATATATGTATATATATTATGTTAGAACAGTAATCTGAAAATACGGTAAAAATTCTTACAAAGACAGATCTTTTTTGGATATGCACATATATGGGATTGTACTAAGGTCTAATACTTTGTTCCCTTTTTTTCCCCCCTCCTCTTCTTCTACTTCTCCTAGGGAAGGAACTACCCTTGTTACTTGAGACAGGTCTTAGGTTTCCTGATGTATGAAAACATATGCACACATATGTGTGTATATATAGATGAAAAATTGATGCTTCGTAAGGTACTTTGGTTCTCTTTCCGTTCTGCAGTACTTGGACTTTTGGTTGTGGAACCAACGTTTTCCGAGCCAAGAAGATAAATAGTGGGGAATACCTTCGCCCAAAGGAACAAAACAACAATAAAAAGCTTTTTCATTTTTTTTAGACCACTATCATGATGTGGCTAGACTTTGTTTTTAACATTCCTGATCTCTGGTCCCTAGTGAGCATGATAAAAACATTCCATTGTGACAAGAAAATCATAATTAAGATTCTCTTGTTATGTCAACAGTGAAAAGTTTTTATGGGAGCAGGAGATCAATTCCATTTTTTTAATACGTATTTGGACAAACTCAACCACATGAAGTGCAAAATATAGGATTGGCTTTAGTGCGTTGCTGGTGTGAGATACCTTTGCACTTCAATGATCGTGTTGGTCCAAGCACGCGAACGTTATCACCTTCGCCATTACATCAAACTTTTTTTTTCCTCGTCTATTGATAGAAACAATTAGTATATAAAAAAAAGGGAACCCTGGTTGATTTTCCAGTTCCTTCTTAGTTGCCTTGACACTATGTATCTCATTTCATTCTATTCATGATACTAAAATTGCTAATGTACCAACTAAGCCAGATCCCGTCCTTCTTTTCCTGAGGTCTTCCTTGGTTGGGTGGATTTTGGATGTTCTCTATGCAAATGTAGGAGAAGTTAGGATGATTCTCCAACTCGGATTGTAATTCTATAAATCTAGATTATTCAACTGACATTGGAAATTCTGAGCATAAGCAACTTGCTCACTGGTTGAAGGATCTGTGGTGACCAATTGACATTCTGGTGACTGATGATTTGCCCCAAAGGTCTCTCATACCGGAAGATGTGATTGGAACATTTTAACCAGTAACAAATCAATTTTTTGCTAGGACCAATGTATTGATGTCCCACATCTGAGGACCTTCTTCGTCTTCTTGTGTTGTCCCAATCCGACCATATTGCACTTTACTCAATCATTTGTTTTGGACAAATCATAAGTCTACGTGACCGATTTCTTTTCCATAGAGCTGTTGGATGGACAATTTATTGTATGGCGTTTAAATGGAGTCAATTTGGAGTAAAAGTAGTGAATTTGTAATTCCTTATAAATTGTATATTTCAGGCATTTTCCTAGTAACTACTTGAACCTTTCCCTTGCTTTGTGAAAGTATTCTGAATCAGATTGTTCAAAAATCGAGATGTCATATTTGAGCTTGACGACCTTGGCTAGAGGTGTGCGACCATGGACATGGCGCAGTAGTAAAGCAGGAGGGTTCTTTACGAAGTATTGGAGGTTCGAATCCCCACATAGCTAGAAGACGACATTTATATTGAAAGATAGATGTCCCGTGTAGATAAAGTTATGGTTTGTTTTGTCGCCTTGCATGAGGTTTTGTCCACACGTCGTAAAGGAAGGTCCACTAGGAGAAAAATAACATTCCAAATATCTGGTCTAAATGTGTAGAAGCTGTGATCGCATCCAAAAACCCGGGTGGTGAACCGGGGGGAAGGCCGCCACTTTGCAGGATTAGTCAGGTGAAACTTGGGTACCCGAGTCGCCAAAATAAAATAAAATCTTCTTAGTCAATTTTTTTAACTAGCTATGCTCAAGTAGTGATACCTGTTGGAATTTGGTAAAAATTGGAGTTAAATTGGGTTAGTAAAAATCGTAAAAAGTTGATTTTGTATCAACTTTGGCCAAGTATTCGGACATGTTGTAACAGTCAAATCATGAAAGTGAATAGAATACTTGTTTTACTCATCAAGTAGATGATCGTTGTACATTTCAAATCTCAAATCAATTTTGGATAAATGAAAAATTGTTGTCCAAAGTTTAAAAGGAAAATTTGAGTTTTGGCTATATAAAGCCGTTGCTCGAACAGAAGACTAGTGCAAAGCGAGGGCCAAGCCCGTGTTTTGAGCTCTCAAGTGGCAAAGTTGACGGCTAATGAGCACTGGGAACAACTTTGCTTTATTAAACATGATGAGTTTTGGGACATGCCTCTCCGGCCACAACTCCTTACCTTCTATAAATTAGACATTTTTGATGCCATAAAGTCATCTCATAATATTTTGCTCGATTACTTTGCATCAAAGCTCTTGCAAAATCATTTGTTTCTTGCATCAAAATAATTGTTTAAGTTCGATTTCAACGTTGCCTTGAAGTTTGAAGTACTTCTACTCCAAGGAGAATCCGTTATATCTTAGAAGACAATTGTCAATATACCGTTAGCATCGTTGCAGGAGAAATTCGTCTTAAAAACAAAGTGTTAAACATTTGCCTCAAAGTTTTTTTCCATCTTTGTCCCTTCATTTCTATTCTTTGTCTAACAAAGTTCATACCTTTCTGTTTTCTTGTGGAAAAGTTTCTATACTAGTTACAAACTATATTCTTAAATCCTCAACAAGTTTAAGATGAATTTTCTGTCATTTATTGGTTTTAATTTGATTCTTTTCATCCCTTAGAATAAGCATAAAGTTATTGTTCCATTCCTGTTCTACTTGTGTTGAACTTTTATTTTGTAACAGAAATGAAAACCATTGAGACAAATACAAGTCAACCAACAAAATGGTACAAATGATGTTGTTTTGCCAATACCAAATCCAGCACCAAATGCAATTTCACCATTAGCTATAAGAAAATCAAACTACTCCAATTTTACATAGAAAGAAATCGGAGAAATTCAGTGGTGTGGATTTCAAAAGATGGCAACAAAATATATTGTTCTATCTTACAACCTTTAACTTGGTAAGGTTTCTAACCGAAGATCCTCCTATTGTAAAAGAATAAGCAAATAATCTAGAAACAATTATTGCATTGGATGCTTGAAAGCACTTAGTATATCCTGAGTGGATTGGACAATACAATATACGGCGTGTATAATGTGATGAAATCTGCTAAAGATTTTTGGGATTATTTGAAGAAAAAATACAAGATGAAAAATGTCTTGACAAAGAAGTTCATTGTTGGAAAGTTCCTTGAGTACAAGATGGCAAATTATAAGATCATAATCAGCCAAGTGCAAAAATTGTAGGTTCTTCTCCATGACATTCTTGTAGAAAAGATGACATTGAGTGAGTCATTCCAAATTGCTACAATTATCGAGAAACTCCCTCATTTATAGCAAGATTGCAAAAACTATCTCAAGCATAAGCGTAATGAGATGAACTTGGAAGAACTTGTTGTCTAACTAAGGATAAAATAAGACAATAGAAAGACCAAAAGAAAGTATGTTGTTCAGCTTGGACAAAAACCAAAGCCAACTTGGTGGAATCCAATTGAAGGATCAACAAAAAACTTAAGGTCTCGAATGATTCACCAAAGAGAAATAACACCAAGAATGCTAAAAAATTCAAAGGCAGTTGCTACAATTGTGGGAAAATAGGGCATCGTTCAAGTGAATGTCGCAAGCCTAAGAAAAATGTACAAGCGACTGTGACTGAAGGAGACACATTAGCTGACGAAATGTAAGAAATGAACTTGTCAGCAACTTATTCTAAACGTGACGTTGGAAATCCAAGAGAATGGTAGGTTGATACTAGTCTACCCGCTACATTTGTGCAGATAAGACTATGTTCTCAAACTACAAAGAATAGATTGGAGAATAATTATTCATGAAAATTCTGTAAGTTCCAAACGGACAAGAGAAGGTTACATTGAAGACAACTTTCGACAAAGAACTCATCCTCAACAATGTTCTACAGGCACCGGACATTCGTAAGAACTTTGTTTTCGGGTATCTACTTTGCAAAAATGATTTTAAATTAGTGTTTGTATCCGATAAATTTCTACTCACTAAGAATGAGTTGTATGTTGGTGAAGGATACTTATGCGATGGAATGTTTAAAATGAATGTTCTTACTATCGTACCGAAGTAAAACATTATTAATAAAAACTTTAAATTCTGCTTATATGCTTTAATTGTGTTGTTTATCACACAATCAATTAAGACATGAAAATTTTAAATCCATACGTAAACTTATGAATTTAAGTTTGATTCCAGCACTAAAAATCATAAATGTGGAATTTGTGTTAAGATAAAATTTGCTAAAACACAATTTCATTCGGTTCAAAGGAACACTAGACCTTTGGAGTTAACACACAATAATATAGTGACTTGAAATTTGTTCAAACTAAATGTGCAAAAATACTTTATCACTTTCATTGATGATTGTATAAAGTATTATTATATTTACTTGCTAAGAAGCAATGATGAAGCCTTAGATATTTTCGAACATTGATAAGTGTAGTTTCCACACTTATTTAGATTTTAAAAGATGATATTTTGTTATTTTTTGGATGAATTAGTGCTTAATTTGTTATTTATTGCTTTTATTAGGGAAAATTCATGTTTAGATGAAGAATGGAAAGAAAGAACAAAAAATAGCTAAAATGAAGCAAATTCAATGTTCGGGAACTAAAGTACAAATACTAAAAACTTGATGGACTTCAAAAATTGGATGCAATATGAANTTTTTTTTATTGGTTTTTGCATTTCCGTCATAATTATTTGATTACTTAACTACCAATTAGATAATAAGTTAATTGTTGTAGTGTAGGAATACTCGCAAACTAATATGTTTAGCTAGAATTATGAATAATCTCTTTCACATATGCAATCACATAGATAACTTAAATTAAATACATGATTTTCATATGAATTTTGGATTAGGAATATGATTGAATTGTGTTAATCATATGTTTGTGTGTCTTGGAAAAAGAGCGTTGAATAATTTAGCATTATTGATTATCAAAATGCATGACATTAATTATATTATGAACTAAGAGTTGATATAAATGGAAATAGGGGCATTTAGGATTCTAATACAAGCATCTGACATTTAAAAATTTCACTTTTATTGCTTTAATAGATTAAAAGTAATATAGAAAATCAAACAACTCTTTTAATGTCACGTCTACTCAAATTTAGTAAAAGCTATTAAACTAAACATTAGACTTGAAACTCGCTTTTTCTATTACTTGTATGACGATTTCGTACTCTTATGGGTTTCAATGTAACAATAAGACAAAAGTTGAGAATCAACTTAGTAAACGTATAAAGAACATTTGAAGTGATGGTTGAGGAGAATACGAGA